GGAATAAAGGACAAAGAGGAATCAAAGGAATAAAGGACAAAGAGGAATCAAAGGAATAAAGGACAAAGAGGAGTCCTGTGTACTACAGGACCTGGGGGCGATTTTATGAGTGGCTTGAAAAAAGATATAAATAGAAAGAAAAAGGAACAACACATGAAATAAATATCTCAGACGACACATGATTAAAATAGGGGGAGGGGAAATAAGAAAATATCAAAATGTAAATATACAGGCGGAAAAATGATAGGAAATGACAAATGTTAAATAGCAATTATAAGAATGTATATCTAAGAATGAATTTGAAAGGAAAAATAAAAAAACTTTTTACAAAAAAAAACATTGGTTGACTCCGGAAAGCGTGATGAGCATCAAAAAAGATGAGCATCAAACAAATTTGTCCAACTGGAATAATGTAGTGAGTCACAAGGCAGCCGACACCGACAATCTAGCTTGTGCGTTGAATACCGAACAAGCAATGCATGTTTGCATCAAAATGGGTTGGGTCCAACTTCAATGAGTTTCAGAACAGCAAGGTATCATTCTATTTGAGGGGCTGTCAACGTATTCTCCAAAGCATCTATGGGCAGGATAACAACTAACAGGTGGAAGATCATTAAAGGCAGCTCTAATCTAGAACTAAGGAGAAACTTCCTAACAGTAAGAACAATTAACTAACAGAATGGCTTGCCTCTAGAAGTTGAGGGTGCTCCATCACTGGGACTAGGGGGGAAATGCTTTTAAAAAGTTTTAAAAGGTTCCGATGATCACGCAGCACAGCTGATTGTTGGAACATTAAAGCATTTTTTACTACTGGTACTGGTTCAGGCGAATAGATAGTAAACAAAGCTTTAAAAAAGTTTTTAAAAAAGTTCTGATGATCACGTGGCATAGCTGATCGTCACAGCTGATCATCGGAACCCTTTTTAAAAACTTTTTTTTTGAAAATACTGGTTTGAGCAAATAGGTAGTAAAAAAAATGCTTTTAAATTTTTTTTAAAGGTTCCAACGATCAGCTGTGACAATCAGCTGTGGCACACAATCACCAAAAGCTTTTATTAAAACTTTTTTAAAGCATTTTTTTCACTACCAGTTCAGGCAAATATGTAGTAAAAAATGCTTTAAAAAGTTTTTTAAAAGGTTCCAACAATCAGCTGCAACAATCAGCTGTGACGCGCAATCGTCGGAACCTTTTTAAAAAACTTTTTAAAGCATTTTTACTACCCATTCGCCCAAACCACTAGTAAAAAAATGATTTAAAAAGTTTTTAAAATGTTCCAACAATCAGCTGTGACAATCAGCTGTTCTGCATGATCATCGGAACCTTTTAAACTTTTTAAAAGCATATTTTTACTACTGGTTCGGGCGAATAGGTATAAAAATGCTTTAAAAGGTAAAAAAAGGTTCCGACGATCAGCTGTGACAATCAGCTGCAACAATCAGCTGTGACGCGCAATCGTCGGAACCTTTTTAAAAAACTTTTAAAGCATTTTTACTACCTATTCGCCTGAACCAGTAGTAATTTTTTTAAAATGTTCTGACAATCAGCTGTGACAATCAGCTGTTCTGCGTGATCATCGGAACCTTTTAAAACTTTTTAAAAGCATATTTTTACTACTGGTTCGGGCGAATAGGTAGTAAAAATGCTTTAAAAGGTTAAAAAAAGATTCCAACGATCAGCTGTGACAAACAACTGTGACGCACGATCGTCGGAACCTTTTTAGAAAACTTTTTAAAGCACTTTTCTTACTATCAGTTCGGGTGAATAGGTAGTAAAAAATGGTTTTAAAAGTTTTTAAAAATTCCAACGATCAGCTGTGCAACAATCAGCTGTGCTGTGCGATTAGTATTCGCTAAAAAGCAGGAAATCCTGCTTTCTAGCAAATCTAAATCATGCAGCACAGCTGTCCCCCCCCCCCCGCCTGCTGTTCTACTTACCTTTGCAAACTCAGGAAAGGCTTCTTAAGCGCCTGCAGTGCGCATGTGCGCGAAGCAAACCAGCTTTAGAGGATTTGACCCCTGTCTGGGACCTAGAATGACAATGTATTTCTGCTTTTTTGCTTGTTTTGTGAATGTAGCATGAGACGTAGTGGAAGCACATGCTATGTTTACTTTGTACGCTGTTGTCACTCTGTGTAGGTACTAAGCGATCATATTGCATATAGATACGAAATCCTGGCTATAATTGGCAAAGGATCCTTTGGCCATGTTGTGAAGTGTTTGGACCACAAAACCGGTGAAAAAGTAGCAGTGAAAATAATAAGGAACAAAAAGAGGTAGGAGCATCTGAATTCTTTTTGTTTTGTTTTACAGTTTGTCAGAATTTGTTGCAGCAATCACATCCAGAAAGCACACACGGGTAACTGCCTCAGCAGGATTCATTAACTTCTCTTTATATATAATATAACACATGAAGAAAATATACAACAGCCAAAGAGAGGTTTTTCCAATGCGGTAGTAAATACAAGCAAAACACAAGCAGAGGAGAGAACAGTTTCAGTTCAGAGCAGCAGACTAGTGTAGACTCAGAGCTACAGAGCTAAGCCACGCCCAAGCTCCTTGCTTGGCTGACCTTGCTTCCATGTCTCTTCCAGTCTGAACTCTAATGCACTTTTTATTTATTAACAAAAATCAAGTACCGGAAACTAGTTGAATAGAGGATTGATTCTTAATTTGTTTTCGTTAAATTACGATTGATTATCTTTGGTGTGAGCTTTAATTTATAACCAGAAGATTTAAAAAAAATTGGCAGCAAACAAACCAAGAAACTTCCTAACCGTGAGGACAATTAACCAGCAGAACAACTTGCCACCAGATGTTGTGGGTGCTTCATCTGGAGGTTTTTAAGAAGAGATTGGATCGCCACCTGTCTGAAATGGTATAGGGCATGGGTGTCAAACTCACAGTGTCATGTTGCCATCACGTGACGTTTCACAACTTTTCCCCTTTCACAAAACTGGGGGGGGGGCGTGTCCTGCATATGGCGCATATGGCCCGCAGGCCGCCAGTTTAACACCGATTAGGTATAAGGTTGGACTGGAAGACCTCCAAGGTCCCTTCCAGCTCTGTTCTGACCGATCGATTGAATCGTGCAGTTGTTAATTCCAGCTTTCCCAATTGAATTTCCTTGTTGGAAGATCGCTGGGAGCAGGTCACAAATGGTGATCACTTGAACCCAGGATCGTAATACAGGCCAGTTGTCCAATGCCCAAATTTTCAACACATGTCTATGGGGATGGTGCGACAGTTGTAAGTAGGAGAATCAGCTGTAGTGGTGGGTTCCGGTATGGCGGTATGGCCCGGTACAGGCATACTGTTGGTAGCTGGGAGCAGTGGCCACCATACCGGAACGGTGGCTCATTTGGCCCGCCCTCCCACCCACGTTCTTTACCGCTTTTTGATGCAAACGGGCCAATTGCGCATGTGCGCACACTGTGTGGCACCTGCTCAACCTCCGCTGAGCAGCTGAGTGTCGCCGGGCGTTGGCGTGTACATCCATACGCAGCACGCATGCCCAATGAGGACGCCCGGCCCCATTGCAGCATTCCGGTCGCAATGGGATCCGGAACCCACTACTGATCAGCTGTAAGTCCTTTTTAAAAAAAATGCTGTTGTAATTTCAAACATCACTAAACGAACGGTCGTAAGTCAAGGGCAACCTGTACGTTAAACTAGATTACGAGATTGAAATGACATTTGGTGTCATTTCCCCCTTTCTATCCAGATTCCACAGTCAGGCTTTGGTTGAAGTTGGCATCTTAAATTCGCTACGGCAAAAGGACCAAGATAATACATATAACGTCGTCCACATGAAAGAGTATTTTTGCTTCCGTAATCATTTCTGCATCTCCTTTGAATTATTAGGGTAAGGCACTGCTCTGCGCCTCCAGTTAACACTTTATGCAGTGGTTAAATGTGAATTTGCTGGATCTTATTTTCGCAATCTTAGCCGTCCTTAATCTTAACAGCTAGGTCGGACTGCATCGGCAGCGACACATGAGACGGCTTCGGTTTCAGCCTCCATGTGGGCCCTGGACTTACCTGACATCCAAAATGAGCCATGTGGAGACTCCTGGCAGGGGAGAGACGGGGTGGGTGGGGTGCAGTGGTGGGTTTCAAAAATTGTTTGAACCTACTCTGTGGGTGTGGCCTCCT